GAAATGTCTACTCTAGTTCTCTTGATGGAGCAGTTAAGTTCCACTAATATCAAGCAACAGATAGCTCCACACTTTATTACGCAAAAATGAATAATATTTTTTGGGGGAGTGTGGGCACAAGAGACTGAAGGCACAAACTGTTTCAGTATAATAAAGAAAATAGACTAAGAATAGTCATCATATAAATTAGATATAGAGAGGATCATGGACAATTATCAACCAGTATTTTAAACATTATTAATCATTAGCTTTTAATATTACTCTTTGTTGCATTACTAATATAACATAGGAATAATCAGCGGGTATAGGGTCAGGTGCTGAAGGGACATTGTGAGAAGTGACCTAGAAGGCAAGAGGTGAGCCCTCTGTCATGCCCGCGTAAGGGCCGCTTGAGGGCTCCTTGGTCAAGCAGTAATGCCAGTGTCTGGGAAGGCACCCGTTACTTAGCAGACCGCGAAAGGGAGTCTCCTTTCCTTGGAGGAGTCAGGGAACACTCTGCTCCACCAGCTTCTTGTGGAAGGCTGGATGTTATCCAGGCCTGCCCGCAGTCATCCAGAGGCCTAAACCCCCCACTGTTGTTCTGTGCTTCAGTGGTCACGCTCCTTGTCTACTTTCATGCTCCTCCCATACTCCTGGTTCCTCTTTGAAGTTCATGGTAGATAGCGGTAGAAGAAACAGTGAAAGTCTTAAAGTCTTTGATCTTTCTTATAAGTGCAGAGAAGAAAACGCTGACGTATGCTGCCTTCTCTCTCTGCTTCGGCTACCTAAGAGGGAAGGGCCCTATCCCGTAATCACATGACTTGCTTCACCTTGTCAATCACTTAGAAGATTCACCCTCTTTACCCTGCCCCCTTGTCTTGTATGCAATAAATACCTGCGAGCCCAGCCGTTTGGGGCCACTATCGGTCTCTGCATCTTGATGGTAGTGGTCCCCCAGACCTAGCTGTCTTTTCTTCTATCTCTTTGTCTTGTGTCTTTATTTATTACAATCTCTCATCTCCACACACGGGGAGTGATGTTCCCCGCCCTGTGTCTATGTGTTCTCATTGTTCAACTCCCACTTATGAGTGAGAACATTCAGTGTTTGGTTTTCTGTTCCTGTGTTAGTTTGCTGACAATGATGGTTTCCAGCTTCATCCATATCCCTGCAAAGGACATGAACTCATCCTTTTTTATGGTTGCATAGTATTCCATGGCGTATCTGTGCCACATTTTCTTTATCCAGTCTGTCATTGATGGGCATTTAGGTTGGTTCCAAGTCTTTACTATTGTGAACAGTAATAAACTGCTGCAATAAACGTACGTGTGCGTGTATTTTTATAGTAGAATGATTTATAATCCTTTGGGTATCTACCCAGTAATGGGATTGTTGGGTCAAATGGTATTTCTAGTTCTAAATCCTTGAGGAATCGCCACACTGTCTTCCACAATGGTTAAACTAATTTACATTTTCACCAACAGTGTAAAAGTGTTCCTATTTCTCCACACCCTCTCCAGCATCTGTTGTTTCCTTTCTTTTTAATGATCGCCACTGTAACTGGTGTGAGATGGTATGTCATTGTGGTTTTGATTTGCATTTCTCTAATGACCAGTGATGATGAGCTTTTTTTCATATGTTTGTTGGCTGCATCAACATACATGTCTGTTCATATCCTTCCTCCACTTTTTGATGGTGTTTTTTTCTTATAAATTTGTTTAAGTTCTTTGTAGATTCTGGATATTAACCCTTTGTCAGATGGATAAATTGCAAAAATTTTCTCCCATTCTGTAGGTTGCCTGTTCACTCTGATGATAGTTTCTTTTGCTGTGCAGAAGCTCTTTAATTTAATTAGATCCCATTTGTCTGTTTTGGCTTTTATTGTCACTCTTTTTTGGTGTTTTAATCATAAAGTCTTTGCCCATGCCTATGAGCTGAATGGCATTGCCTAGTTTTCCTCTAGAGCATTTATGGCTTTAGGTCTTACATTTAAGTTTTTAATCCATCTTGAGTTAATTTTGTAGAAGGTGTAAGGAAGAGATCCAGCTTCAGTTTTCTGCATATGGCTAGCCAGTTTTCCCAGCACCATTTATTAAATAGGGAATCCTTTCCCCATTGCTTGTTTTTGTCAGATTTGTTGAAGATCAGATGATTGTAGATGTGTGGCATTATTTCTGAGGCCTCTGTTCTGTTTCCTTGGTCTATATATCTGGTTTTGTGTTACTGCATGTAACCATGCTGTTTTGGTTACTGCAGCCTTGTAGTATAGTTTGAAGTCAGGTAGTGTGATGCCTCCAGGTTGTTCTTTTTGCTTAGGATTATCTTGGCTGTATGGGCTGTTTTTTGGTTACATGAAATTTAAAGTAGTTTTTTCTAATTCTGTGAAGAAAGTCAATAGTAGCTTGATGGGGATAGCATTAAAGACTTAAACATAAAACCTAAAACTATAAAAACTCTGGAAGAACACCTAGGCAATACTATTCAGGACATCGGCATGGGCAAAGACTTCATGACTAAAACACCAAAAGCAATGGCAACAAAAGCCAAGATTGACAAATGGAATCTAATTAAACTAAAGAGCTTCTGCACAGCAAAAGAAACTATCATCAGAGTGAACAGGCAACCTACAGAATGGGAGAAAATTTTTGCAATTTATCCATCTGACAAAGGGTTAATATCCAGAATCTACAAAGAACTTAAACAAATTTACAAGAAAAAAAAACCATCAAAAAGTGGAGGAAGGATATGAACAGACATGTATGTTAATGCAGTCAACAAACATATGAAAAAAAGCTCATCATCACTGGTCATTAGAGAAATGCAAATCAAAACCACAATGACATACCATCTCACACCAGTTACAGTGGTGATCATTAAAAAGTCAGGAAACAACAGATGCTGGAGAGGATGTGGAGAAATAGGAATGCTTTTACACCGTTGGTGAAAGTGTAAATTAGTTTAACCATTGTGGAAGACAGTGTGGCGATTCTTCAAGGATTTAGAACTAGAAATACCATTTGACCCAGCAATCCCATTACTGGGTATATACCCAAAGGATTATAAATCGTTCTACAATAAAAACACATGCACACGTGTGTTTATTGTGGTACTGTTCACAATAACAAAGACTTGGAACTAACCCAAATGCCCATCAATGATAGACTGGATAAAGAAAATGTGGCATATATACACCATGGAATACTATGCAACCATAAAAAAGGATGAGTTCATGTCCTTTGCAGGGATATGGATGAAGCTGGAAACCATCGTCAGCAAACTAACACAGGAACAGAAAACCAAACACATGTTCTCACTCATAAGTGGGATAAGTTCACTCACTGAACAATGAGAACACATAGATACAGGGAGGCAAACATCGCACACCAAGCCTATTGTGGGGTAGGGGGCTAGGGGAGGGATAGCATTAGGAGAAATACCTAATGTAGATGATGGATTGATGGGTGCAGCACACCACCATGGCACATGTATACTTATGTAACAAACCTGCATGTTCTGTACATGTATCCCAGAACTTAAAGTATAATTTCAAAAAAAGAAAATGGTGAGATTAGAACAGAAAGACAATAGCTTAAACAACAGCATAAAACAATGCAAATCTTTTCTCTCAGCTATTTTGAAATATGCAATAAATTATTGTTAACTATAATTTTCCTACTGAATTATCAAGGGCTAGAACTTATTTCTCCTATCTACCTGTATTTTGTACTCCTTAAACAACTTCTCTTCACTCCACTCCCCCTTGACTTCCCAGCCTTGGCAATCACCATTCACCCCTCTGCCTACATGGGATTTACATTTTGGTTCCTACATATGAGTGAGAACAAGCAATATTTGTCTTTCTGTGCCTGGTTTCTTCCACTTAACATAATGTCCTCCAGTCCCTCCCATGTTTCTGCAAATGATAGGATTTCATTGTTTATAATGGCACAATAATATTCCACTTTCTATGTACCACATTATCGTTATTTTAAAAATTTAAAAGTAAATTTCAAATGAAAAAGAATTAGTCTCTGAATGTGAAGTTTCAGGGATACCGTTACCATGTTTGTATGTATGCACAAGAGTCAAATATCATTAAAATCTGTAAGGGTATAAATCTACACTTTCAGCAAATGTAACATGAAAATTCTAAGTAGTAAAAATTCTAAGTAGAAAAAAAGGAGATAATTTGTATAGTGTTGAAGAACAATGCATTCAAAGAAAATATTCGAGGAATATCACTTGACCTGGTAATACCAGAAGCTCTTATATTAACTACCAATTAGAGTGTGATCCCATTAGACCCTCCACCAACCGAATCATCTTTGGTGCTTTAAAAAATTCTCATACCCAGAGAAGTCCAAGGAAATCAGAATTTCTGGTAATGTGACCCAGTCAGCCTTTGTAAGCTCCCCAGGTCATTTCAATGAAAGTCAAGTTTGAGAACCACTGGTAGGGATCCTCACACACAACCTGCCTAAAGAGATTCCATAGATGCTATTTGTAAATTACAGATGAATTGTGGAAGGAGATGGAAATTTGAAATATAGTAAGTCTTCCCTTAACCACTTGACAGGTTCTTGGAAACTCTGATTTTAAGAAAAATTATGCGTAACAAACCAATCTTTTTCTTCACCAATATTATAACTAAATAATATTGAACGAAACGACATTAATCAAGGACCTGCTGCACATTGTATCCTTCATGTCACAGTTTCCAAGAACCTCTCCACGATGTGAAGTGAGGACTTCCTCTGTGTAAAAAAAGAGTTGTGATTTTAGCTGGATACCAGCGTCATTCCTCAGAAACTAAAGGAGGCTGTCCAGGTGTATTGGATTCAGTCATGATGTTTGTGATGAACAAAGGATACCAGAATATTCACTTATTCCAAGTAAAGATATAACAAAGAAAGCACTATTCACATAGGAAATGTGGGCAGGGGCCATGATTTGCAGGTTCAGATAATTAATGTTGCTGCCTTTTCTAACTCACACAAGAAAAACAATAGGATGGATAATGAGACTAGACTGTCCTGTTTTGCAGTTTCCACAGGGCCTTTTTAATGTCCCCGTTTCTCAGGCTGTAGATGAAGGGGTTCAGCATGGGGGTGACTACAGTGTACATCACTGAGGCCACCGCACCCTTCCTGGGAGAAGGTGACACAGCTGAACTGAGGTACATGCCAAGGCCTGTTCCATAAAATAAGCAAACAACTGTCAGGTGAGAGCCACAGGTGGAGAAGACTTTGTATCTCCCACCTAATGATGCAACTCTCAAAATGGAGGAAATAATTTTATAATAGAAGTAGAGGACCCCAGAAATAGGAAGAAACCCAAATATGGAAGCACCGAAATACATGACTATGTTATTGAGGAAGGTGTCAGAACAGGCAAGGCTGAGGAGTTGAGAAGGGTCACAGAAGAAAGAAGAGATGTCCACATCCTTGAAGCAGGTGAATTGTAACACAGTGAAATTGTGCAGCTGGGATTCCACCAGGCTAAGAAGAAAAGACACCAAAACTAAGAAGCCACAGAGGCGTGGGTTCATGATAACTGGGTAGTGCAGGGGGTGACAGATGGCTACGAACCGGTCATAAGCCATCACAGCCAGAAGCATGTCTTCCATGCATCCAAAAAGGGTAAAAAGCGACATCTGTGTCAGGCAGCCCACATAGGCGATGACTCTGCTGTGAGTTTGCATGTCCACAATTGTCTTGGGGACGGTGGTGGAGGTGAAACCGATGTCAGCCAAGGACAGGTTGGAGAGGAAGAAGTACATGGGGGTGTGGAGGTGGGAGTCAGAGCCGACGGCCAGGATGATGAGCAGGTTCCCCAGCACCGTGACCAGGTACAGGGACAGGAACAGCCCAGCGAGGACAGGCTGCAGTTCAGGATCATAGTTCCAGGAGGAGGAATTCTGAGACACCTGTTAGATTTTGTGGTTCTGTGTAGCTTGGAAACCTTTTAATAAGAAAAGGGAGGTGGAAAATGTGAAACAAGTAAACCAGCACGCAGCACTGTGTCTATACTTTAGATATAAACAATTCACAAGTACAGTTTTCACATCTGAAGATCACACACCCTCAGCCCTGACAAACCCAATTTTCTAAGAACTCTTTCCTGGTTGATTTTTGTGCTATTCAATACTTTGTGTATGTGCGTACTTTTGAGACAATGGGTGAAGAACATTAGAAGAATAAATATAAGAACGTAGTATATTTTTTAAAATTCATGAATACAGTAAAATATAGACTATCCTTTAAAAACATCTAAATAAAAAATATTCTCCTCCCTTGGAGAAAAGAATCTTAAGCTAATTAAAGGAAGTTAAGGAACCATGAAATATATTTTATTTTATTCCAATACAGTGCTACACATTCTACCAATTTAGAAAATTTTTAAACAGTCTATAAGAGTTAGGGCCACATTATCTAGAAACTAAATCAAACTTGATAGTTCATAATTGTAAAATATTTTCTGTGTCTGTTTTCTTTCAGAGTTTTTATTATTCGAACAATTTTTTGACATTCTTTCTTCAAGGAAGTAAGTGTTCAATCAACCCACAGCCAATATCATACTGAATGGGCAAAAACTGGAAGCATTTCCTTTGAAAACTGGCACAAGGATGCCCTCTCTCACCACTCTTATTCAACATGGTATTGGAAATTCTGGCCAGGGCGATTAGGCAAGAGAAAGAAATAAAGGGTATTCAAATAGGAAAAGAGAAAGTCAAATTGTCTCTGTTTGCAGATGGTGTGATTGTATGTTTAGAAAACCCCATCGTCTTAGCCCAAAATCCCCTTAAACTGATAAGCAACTTCAGCAAAGTCTCAGGATCCAAAATCAATGTGCAAAAATCGCACGCGTTCCTATACACCAGTAAGAGACAATCAGAGAGCCAAATCATGGGTGAACTCCCGTTCACAATTGCCACTAAGAGAATAAAATACCTAGGAATACAGCTGACAAGGGACGTGAAGGACCTCTTCATGGAGAACTTCAAACCACTGCTCAAGGAAATAAGAGAGGACATAAACAAATGGAAAAACATTCCATGCTCATGGATAGGAAGAATCAATATTGTCAAATAGATAGGCTTGCATTTATTTATTTATTATTGAGATGGAGTTTTGCTCTTGTTGCCCAGGCTGGAGTGCAACGGCACGATCTCAGCTCACTGCAACCTCCGCCTCCTAGGTTCAAGCGATTCTCCTGCCTCAGCCTCCGGAGTAGCTGGGATTACAGGCATGTGCCGCCACGCCCAGCTAATTGTTATGTATTTTTAGCAGAGACGGGGTTTCTCCATGTTGGTCAGGCTGGTCACAAACTCCTGACCTCAGGTGATCCACCCGCCTCAGCCTCCCAAAGTGCTGGGATTACAGGCGTGAACCACCGCACCCGGCCTAGGCTTTCTTTTAAAATCCATTTAATATAAAACTCCTGTCTTTGGCTTATGCGGACATTGCGTTTTGGTAAGAAAGGTTTAGCTAAATGCGCCTAATCAGAGGCCTACAGCAGCTGCACAGATGGTAACACTGCCATGCACTTGTCAGTGATTAAACAATAATGGAATGTTAATAAGCCTTTTGCATTATCTTCTCTGAGCCTGAAAGAATGTGAAACTAAAATGTGTCTAAGCCCAGGCAAAAATGTTCATCTGTCTTCTTCTCTTTCTGCCTTTATCCTTTTGTCGTACCTAAAAAAATCTCTGACATGGCCTTTAAAAAATTGAATGTTGTAGATGTTATTAAATGGAATCATAAGGATCAAACAAGGGCTATTTTGCCTTGTCTCGAGTTCTATGGCACGTTCCTGAAAGAGATGAAAGAACAGGCAGGAAAACATCATGTGTGTTGAAGCCACACTGATTATGGTCAATTTTTGTGAATCAAGGAAGGCTCTATTCAATATTTTTCTGCAATTTTTACTTTAGATGCCTCCACTGTGCCAAGCGAGATATAGGCTCTGGCGAATCAGAAATGAAAGGGGCTGACAGTCCTTCCTCTCACAGCACTCAGTATTTACTTATATGAGGGCAAATATTGTCCTGTCAGGATATAGGGAAACTTAACTCAGGTCACAGAATATTTTAATGGAGTGGTGTAGAGATTAACCTTACAATGCTAATGACAATATCTAAAAGCCTCTTTGCCTTTATGCATCCATCACATAGAGATCATGCAGGAGCACCCATGATCTGTTTAATTATTGCTCACTGACATTGGATCAACCAGAAAGCAGCTCAGATGACAGTGCTGAGTCTCAGAGACACGAACGACTCACCCCTCGTCACACAGATCGGTAGAACAGGCAGAATTTAGAATTAAACGGTTGGTCTCTGAGTCCCAGGCATTAAAATTCCACATTGTCTTCCAGCTATCGGGAAGTTTTAAGCAGAGGTCAGAGGTCTTAACCACAGGTATACCTCAGGTGCATTTTGAAACTCTTTCCAGCTCCCTGAATAGGAGTGGAGTCTAAGACCCTGATTTGATGGCTCCTCTAAGGAAGTGGAGAGCTGAAAGGAAAGCCAGGAACAGGGGCAAGGGAGGGATGCGCCCTGAGTTTTTGTGTTCTGACTATTTCTGTGATCTTTCATGTGATCCCAGCTGCACTTCCTTTTTCTTTTCTTTCTTTCTTTTTTTTTTTTTTAAGAGATGGGCTTTTGCTCTGTCACCCAGGCTGGAGTTCCGTGGTGCAGTCCTTCGGCTGCAGTGAACATGGCATTCACTGGTCTGACCGAGGTCTACTAGAAACTCCCGAAGTGGAGAGTACAATTAGCAGAAGGCAGGTGCAAGAAATGACAGGGATTTGAGAGGACAGTTTGGGTGCACCAGAGAGGAATGCCCAAATTCCATGTGCCTGGACTTTAGACCTCCTGGTTCAATCTTGGCTTCACTCCTCTCTGCTTCATGATACGGTACAAGTTATATAAAAATGCATTGCTCTTTTCCTCTTTTGTAAAATAATAATAACGTGTGCACTTATAACATAGAGAAGACCATGCAGATGAAATGAAATAAGCTACATAGAACACAGAGCTCAAAACTCGGCATTTAGGAAGCCCTGTGTAAGAGTTCATGATGTCATGGTGACTGCCATCTTCCTCCTCATCCTCATCATCACCTTCATAATCCTTCCAGAGTGCTTAGGGAACAGTTTCCGGGGACCCATTTTCTCCTGTCTTCAGTGAGATGTTTATAGCTAGTAGAATCAGTTTAGAGAGAAAGCAAAACTTCGAATGACATTTCTGACACCAATCACAACCCAGAACATAAACTCCACAGTCATCTGAGCTGATATTTTGCACATTGGTGTCCTCCCATCTGCCACCCCACTGTCCCGTTTATCCTGAGGATGAGGAAACGAGGCTCCCGATTGTCCCTCAGCACTCACTGAGCCACGCTTTGCCTCTGCTGGGCCATGACCACGGAGAGCAGGTCCGCTGTCCTCCCTGCGTGCTGCACGATGGAGGCTCAGGCTCCGTCCTCAGGACTGGCAGGAAGACAGGGTCAGACATGAGCCTCCTGATGCAGACCACAGGTGTGGAGCCCACTGGACTGGAAGCTCACACTGCAGGGCTGGAGGCACAGGCTGAGTATTTACTATGCTATGGCCATGGGGGCTCAAGGCACAGAGCTCCTCATTAGCCAAATTGGCCCAAGTTCCCCAGTCTCTAAGGTCTTCCTCACAGTCATGGATGAAGAAGAGAAAATGAATGTCCACAGAAGCATTTGGGCTCTTCCTCTACTCAGGAGAAATCCGTGTGTATAGTTCATTTCATTTCTTTTTCTTCCAAGGATCCATCTTTTTTAATTTCTGTATTTTTATTGTGGTAAAATATACTGCACTTAAATACGAAAGTTATAAATATAAGTGGTTTTCTATAAAACGGGAAATACGAAAATCTTTTCATTGTAACCACTTTTAAATGTAGTTCATTGGCCTTATGCACATTCATATTGTTGTTCAACCTCCACCATCATCCCTCTCCTGAACTTTTTTGCCTTTCAGAAGAGATGCTCAGTGCCCACGGACAAACCACCCATTTCTTCATTTCGCCAACCCCTAGCAACCACCATTCTACTTTCTGTCTCTATGAATTTAAGTATGCAAGATACTTGTAACAAATGGAATCATACTGTGTTTGTCTTTTGTGACTGGTTTGTTTCACTGAGCATAATGTTTCTAGGTTCATCCATGTTGTAGCACATGTTAGAATTGTCTTCCTTTTTAAGGCTTAATAAAAGTTCATTTTGGCCAGGCGCAGTGGCTCACGCCTGTAATCCCAGCACTTTGGGAGGCTGAGGCAGGCGGATCACGAGGTCAGGAGATCAAGACCATCCTGGCTAACACAGTGAAAACCCATCTCTACTAAAAATACACAAAATTAGCCGGGTGTAGTGGTGGATGCCTATAGTCCCAGCTACTCAGGAGACTGAGGCAGGACAATGGCGTGAACCAGGGAGACAGAGTGAGCCGAGATCATGCCACTGCACTCCAGCCTGAGCCACAGAGCGAGACTCCTTAAAAAAAAAAAAAAAAAGAGTTCATTTTATAGCTGGACCACATTGTGTTTTATCCATTCATCTGTCCATGGACATTTGAGTTGCTTCCACATTTTTGCCTATTATTTATAACATTGCAACATATACAGCATACTAATATCTATTCAAATCTCTTCTTTGATTCTTTTTGTCATATACAGGGTGTAACCGCAGGTGCATCTGGAATTCCATTTTTAATTTTGTGTGGAACCACCATGCTTTTTTTTCATATTTCTGCAACATTTTACCTTTCCACCAGCCATGTACAAGCCTTCTGACTTCTCTCCATTTTCCAGTGCATCTCCTTTTCTATTAGTTTGTTTGTAATATTTATCCTCATATGTGCTATCTTATTGTGGTTTTGATTTGCACATCATTTTGTACGCTTATTGGAAATTCGTATATCTTCTTTTTTTTTTTTTTTTTTTGAGACGGAGTCTCACTCTGTCGCCCAGGCTGGAGTGCAGTGGCTGGATCTCTGCTCACTGCAAGCTCCGCCTCCCGGGTTCACGCCATTCTCCTGCCTCAGCCTCCTGAGTAGCTGGGACTACAGGAGCCCGCCACCTTGCCCAGCTAGTTTTTTGTATTTTTTAGTAGAGATGGGGTTTCACCGTGTTAGCCAGGATGGTCTGGACCTCCTGACCTCGTGATCCACCTGTCTCAGCCTCCCAAAGTGCTGGGATTATAGGCGTGAGGCTCCGTGCCCGGCCTTTTTTTTTTTTTTTTTGAGATGGAGTCTTGCTCTGTTGCCCAGGCTGGAGTGCAGTTGCGCAATCTCTGCTCACTGCAAGCTCCACCTCCCAGATTCAAGCCATTTTTCTGCCTCAGCCTCCCAAGTAGCTGCGACTATAGGCTCCCACCACCATGCCCGGATACTCTTTTCATATTTTTAGTAGACACGGGGTTTCACCTTGTTAGCCAGGATGGTCTCGATCTCCTAACCTTGTGGTCTGCCCGCCTTGGCCTCCCAAAGTGCTGGGATTACAGGCGTGAGCCGCCATGCCCGGCCTCCACAGGGCACTTTGAATGTCCCAGTTTCTCAGGCTGTAGACGAATGGGTTCAGCATGGGGGTGACCACAGTGTACGTCACTGAAGCCACCGCAGCCTTTCTGCGGGAAGAGAACACACCTGAACTGAGGTACACGCCAAGAAATGTTCCATAAAATAAGCAAACAACTGCCAGGTGAGAGCCACAGGTGGAGAAGGCTTTATACTTCCCACCTAAAGATGGGACTCTCAAAGTAGAGGAGACAATTTTATAGTAAGAGAAAACAATACCTGAGATAGGAAAAAAATCCAAATATTACAACAAAAATATACATAATGATGTTATTGATGAAGGGGTCAGAACAGGCCAGGGTGAGGAGTTCAGAGGGGTCACAGAAGAAATTGGAAATTTCCACATTCTCAAAGCAGGTAATTTGTAAGGCAATCAAATTGTGCATCTGGGAGTCCAACAGGCTAAGAAAAAAAGACACCAATATTAAGAAGCCACAGAGGCGTGGGTTCACGATGACTGGGTAGTGCGGGGGGTGACAGATGGCCACAAACCAGTCATAGACAATCATGGTCAGCAGCATGTCATCCATACACCCAAAAATTATAAAGAAAGACATCTGTTTAAGGCAGCCTGCATAGGAGAGAACTGCTGTGAGCCTGGATGTCCACAATTGTCTTGGGAATGGTGGTGGAGGTGAAACCAATGTCAGCCAAGGACAGGTTGGAGAGGAAAAAGTATGTGGGGGTGTGGAGGTGGGAGTCAGAGCTGACAGCCAGGATGATGAGAAGGTTCCTCAGCATCATGACCAGGTACATGGACAGGAACAGCCCAGTGAGGATGGGCTGCAGTTCTTAATCATGCCTTTTTGCATGAAGTGGCTGCTCTCCACCAGCGAGGAGAGCAAAAGGCCAGTCTGACAGGCTTTTGTATCCGCACTCGTGGCTCCTGAGAACTTTTCCAGCATCTAGGAAAAATGAGCTTGCATGAACGAATTGAAGGATGTTAAATGCGGGAGGGATTTTATGGCTGATTAAAGTGGTTCTCAGGTAAGGGAAGCTGAAAAGCGGATGGGGCAGGTAGATAATGAAGTCCAGCCATCTCCTGCCGAATTCTTCTCTGAAGTTACACCATCAAGCTGTCCTTCTGAGGTCAAAGCTGCTTCTCTCTGATGTCCAGCCATAGTTTCATCTACTGGCTGAGTCTGGGGTTTTTATAGGCATAGGATGGGGTGGGGCAGGGCCATGGGTGGTTTAGGAAATGGTAATATTCAAGCAGGAAAATAGGGATATAAGTTCTCACTTTGGGCTGAAGTTTCAGAGTTTTTGGCTTGAAGATGGGGTTTTGCCTGGGAACTGCCCTTTTCTGCCTAGAATTTCTCCACCCTCTGTCCCTATCACCCTCAAGGCCCCACTCTTCCTGGGGTAATAGGGCCTGGTTATTTCTACACAATATGAGGATTCTCCAAAGAGCAGCCCTAGCTTTAGAGCTCCCCGTAGAGTTGGCAGAAACTTTCTCAGATCTGCATAAACATCTCTTGTGGTCTAAATTGCACCCCCAAGTTAATATAGTGAAGTCCTCACCCCCAATGTGATGACTGTCTTTGGATACAGGGTCCTTAGGGAGGTAATTAAAGTTTAACGAAATCATAAGGGTCAGGTCTTGATCTAATAGGACTGATATTCTTAGAAGAAGAAGAGACACCAGAGATATAAAACCAGCTATATTTAAATGTGTATTTTAATCACACTTCATCCAGTAGGAAAACAAATAAACACTGTTGATCTGTTCATGATCCAACACACAAACAACAAAAACCCACATGCAAACACATAGAAATAAAGTTAGTGAACAATCAATAGCTTAAGAACTCTGGGCCAGGTGCGGTGGTTTACGCCTGTAATCCCAGCACTTTGGGAGGCCGAGGTGGGCGGATCACGAGGTCAGGAGACCGAGACCATCCTGGCTAACATGGTGAAACCCCCTCTGTACTAAAAATACAAAAAAAAAGTTAGCAGGGTGTGGTGGCGGGCGCCTGTAGTCCCAGCTACTTGGGAGGCTGAGGCAGGAGAATGGCGTGAACCTGGGAGGCAGAGCTTGCACTGAGCCGAGATCGCGTCACTGCACTCCAGCCTGGGCGACAGAGCGAGACTCCGTCTCCAAAAAAAAAAAAAAAAAAAAAAAAGAACTCTGTGCCACCACTTGAGATACAAAGCTATAGCAAATGCTTCAAATCCAAGTTCAGAACTTACTAATGGAGAATTAAGAATGTTGACCAAGGACACAATTTTTGAACAGTACATAGGACAGAAGCGCCATCAAGGAAATTACTTGGAGATTAATTGTTAACCTACACCCCCATGTTTATCACAGTACTATTCACATTAGCAAAGGTATGGAATCAACCTATGTGTCCATCAATGGAGGATTGGATTTTTTACAAAGTGGTACCTTAAAGAACTAGAAGTCTGGGCACAGTGGGTCACGCCTGTAATCCCAGCACTTTGAGAGGCTGAGGTGGGTGGATCACCTGAGGTCAGGAGTTCAAGACCAGCCTGGCCAACATGGTGAAACCCCCGTCTCTACTAAAAATAAAAAATTAGCCGGGCATGGTGATGGGCACCTGTAATCCCAGCTACTCAGAGGCTGAGGCCAGAGAATCGCTTGAACACAGGAAGCAGAGGTTGCAGTGAGATGAGATTGTGCCACTGCACTCCAGCCTGGGCAACAGAACAAGACTCTGTCTCAAAAAAAAAAAAAAAAAGAACTGAAAGTAGAACTACCTTTCAGTCCAGCAGTTCCACTACTGGGTATCTACCCACAGGAAACAAAGTCATTATGTGAAAAAGACACATACACGTGCATGTTTATAGCAACACAATTTGCAATTACAAAGGTATGGAACCAACCTAAGTGCCCATCAACCAATGATAAAGAAATGTGGTATATATACACCATGGAATGCTACTCAGCCATAAAAAGGAACCAAATAATGTCTTTTGTAGCAACTTGGATGGAACTGGAGGCCATTACTCTAGGTGAAGTAACTTAGGAATGAAAAACCTGGGTTTCTCTGTATGGTCAACCAACATACATAAGATCCATATGAACATATCATATGTTCTCAGTTATAAGTGGGAGCTAAGCTGTGAGGACACAAAGGCATATGAACAATATAATTAACTTTGGGGACGTGAAGGGGTAAAAGTTGGGAGGGGGAATGAGGAATAAGAGACTACATATTGGGTCCAGTGTACACTGCTTGGGTGATGGGTACACTAAAAATTCAGAAGTCACCACTAAAGAACTTATCCATATAACAAAAAACCACATGTACCCCAAAAACTATTGACATAAAAATAAATTTTTTAAAAAAAGAAAACATGGTATATATCTATATCGATATCTATGTAGATATCTATATATATACAATGGAATACTACTCAGTCATGAAAAAGAATGAAATCATGTCTTTCACAGCAACATCAATGGGACTGGAAGCCATTCTTTTAAATAAGGTAGTAAAGAAAGAGAAAGTCAAATGCTGCATGATCTCACTTATAATTGGGAGCTAAACAATGTATACGCATGGGCATTATAACGGAATAATGGACACTGGAGACTGCAAAAGGTGAGAGGGGAGTGAGAGTTTAAAAATTGCCTTGGCCAGGCATGGTGGCTCACACCTGTAATCTCAGCACTTTGGGAGGCCAAGGCGGGTGGATCACAAGGTCAGGAGTTCGAAACCAGCCTGGCTAATATGGTGAAACCCCATTTCTACTAAAAGGCATGTGGTGGCGGGCGCCTGTAATCCCAGTTACTCGGGAGGCTGAGGCAGGAGAATCACTTGAACCCGTGAGGCAGAGGTTGCAGTGAGCCGAGATGACTCCGCTGCACTCCAGACTGGGCGACAGAGCGAGACTCCGTCTCAAAAAAAAAAAAAGAAAAAAAAATTGCCTTGTGTTCACTATTTGGGTAATCAGTACGCCAAAAGCTCAGACTTCACCCTTATGCAAATGCATGTGAAGAAATCTGCATTTGTATCCTCAAAGTATAAAAAAAATTATTTTTTAATTTTAAAGAGTGAGAATTTCAAAATAAAACCTTTTTGTCATTGGTGCTCACAAAACTAGTTAGTCCTGGGGCCGAGGGATCCATCACAGACAAGGAGTTGCCCTGCTGAGGAGTCTCCCCAGGGCCCCCTTCACATCCTTGTTCCTCAGGCTGTAGATGAAGGGGTTCAACATGGGAGTGACCACCGTGTACATCACCGAGGCCACGGAGATGTTCTGGGAAGAGTGAGTCACTGCAGAAGTGAAGTGGACCCCAATGCCTGTCCCATAAAATAAAGAGACGACGGAGAGGTGAGAGCCACAGGTAGAAAGTGCTTTCTCTTTTCCCCCAGATGAGGACATCTTCCTTATGGATGAAGCGATTCGTGAATAAGAGAAAATGATCCCAAGGAGGGGAAAAACGCCCAGCACACCCGTCATAACATATATCAACGTGCTGTTCAGGAAGGTATCAGAGCAGGCCAGCTGGAGGATGTGTGTCAGTTCGCAGAAAAAATGTGGAATTTCAAAATCTTTACAGAAGGTGAGATGCGTCATCAGAGAAATATGGAGGAGGGATGTCATGACACCAATGAGCCACGTGACAAAAACCAGGAGGCCGCAGAGGCGGGGGTTCATGATGGTTACATAGTGCAGGGGGTGGCAGACGGCCACAAACTGGTCATAGGCCATCACAGTCAGGAGTAGCGTGTCCAGAATAGGAAAAAACATGGAGAAATAGACCTGGGTGAGGCAGTCCATGTAAGAGATGGTTTTGTTCTTGGTCTGGATGTTCACCAGCATCTTGGGGACGATGCAGGTGCTGAAACAGATGTCAACCCAGGACAGGTTGGAGAGGAAGAAGTACATGGGGGTGTGGAGGTGGGAGTCAGAGCTGATGGCCAGGATGATGAGCAGGTTTCCCAGCACCGTGATCAGGTACATGGAAAGGAACAGCCCAAATATGAACGGCTGCAGTTCTGGATCCTCAGAGAGTCCGAGAAGGATAAACTCTAAAAATCCTGTTTGGTTTTCTGCTTCCATGTAGCTGATGTATCTACAAAAGAAGAGGTAATTAGTCAGACATGGTGGTGGACACCTGTAGTCCCAGCTACTCGGGAGGCTGAGATGGGAGGATCACTTGAGCCCAGGAATTTGCAGCTGCACAGAACTATGTTTGCACCACTGCACTCCAGCCTGGCAGATAGAGGGAGACCTGTCTCAAAAAAAATAAATAAATAAATAAAATAAAAATAAAACTATGTATATATGTATTTATTTTAAAATATATATTTATTTAAAAATATACATATATATTTATTTATTTAAAAGGAAGCGGTAACAGAAACATCAGTTAGCATCCAACAGGCATCCTTCATATAATAGAAATGTTGTCCATACTATTGCGATTTATGGACTCATTTTGTCTGATCTTTCATACATAAGTGGAATTCTAAAAAATGAAGTCTCTCATCCCAACCAGCCACATATTTAATTATTTAAAAATTAATTATATTCTGTATACTCAACATACACAATATAATACATGTTATGAGATACATATAGATAGTAAAATGGTTACTGTAGTGAAAGAAATAAACATATCCATCATCTCATTTTCTTTATAGCAAGAACAGCTGCAAGCTACTCATGTAGCATAAACATGAGTATAATCAACAACACACTGTTATTGATTATAATTCTCATGGGGTACACTGGATCTCTAGACTTGTTTATCCTATATATCTGCTACTTTGTATCCATTATCCTACATCTTTCTCATTTCCTCCCCCAGC